ATATAATATATATATATATATATATATATATATATATATATATATATATATATGTATGTATACTCTATCAAGCAAACATTTATTTGATTTGAAGTATAGTCTATTCTTCTGGTTTTCTCTAATTGTTCTTGATTCTATTTTAGCTGGACTTAATGGCTAATTCTCTGTTACTGTGTGGGAATTGGATCACACACACATTTAAGTAGAATCTCAACTTGAAATATTGTTATGTTTATAATGAGGTGGCATGCCTAAAGATGAGTTTTCTTAGGGAATGGTGTTATTGAGAATTTTGGAAGTATATACCTGTTGTCCACTGGTTTCCATATTATTAATTATTAAAAGTGCTTAATACACATTAGAGAAAAAACTTTAAATTACAAGAAAAAAACAAGAGCTAACTATCTGTGTATAAAACATTTTAAGGACATATTTGTAGATTTTATTTCAAAATGATGAACCTTACATTAAGTGATTGGTGTATACCAAGATCATGATTAAATAGATGTATTTCCTACTGTATTTGAAAGAATTATATTGTTTTAATTTTAGTATTAAACCATTCTCCCAATCTTAAATGAAAATGAAAATTAATACAGAAACTGAATAGTCACATTTCAGAGGATGAGAAAATATGCCCATCCCTAATGACACATGTGTACCATGTTTCCTCACAAAGATGAGGGAATTTTAGAAGATATAGTGGACTCAATATAAGAACATGACATTAGGAATAACTTCAATGGATGAGTGTCTTCTAGACACATCAGGTGTTTTCCACTCATGAACTCAATGTAAGTACCTATTGCAAGTCATCAAGTCAGTCAAAATTCCAGCAGAGTTAGTGTAGATACACATAAACTTCACCACTATATAAGACAGTTGACGGATGCTGGGATAGGAAAGCAGTTTTCTTCAAGGAAGTGTCATCTATTTTGATTCCCCTACCCTAGTGGATAAGCTTATATTCATGGACAAAAGACAACATTTTTTACTTAAACATAGAGGACTATAAAAGTAGTAAATATGTTGGCACGGCAATCAGATCTAAAAGTTACATCATCAGTTTCAATAATTGTATATTTCCTATTCATTGTTTTAATCTTTTATTTTTATTTTTGTCGTCACAATCTAAAATAAAATGTCTAATTTGAAGTTCACAATTCATGGTCATTAGTCATATCGTCAATATGAAATAATTTACTCTACATAATTCAAAGAAATCTTTGCTATCTCATTTAGAGTCTCCAAAACAATTAATCTTTAGCTTCCAATGTTCTGCTTTTAGCTTTAAGGAACCTTCCATTTTATAAATTTATCTGCTCTAGATATTTTATAAGATGGTAATACAAATACAAAGTGAAGGTCATATTGCGCCACCATTGTTTTACGTTTTACTGGGCATTATTCTGCTGTGCATTTCTGTGGCAAAAGACTAAATCCTGAGTGATTGTGTGCTGTTTACAAGCCATTTCAAGGACCCCAATGGAAACGGAAATTGGTGAAGCCTTCCTAGGATGAGCATCATCAAAATAGCCAAACCTTGCACTGGTGCCTCTGCATGCATTGACAGTACTTGAATAACAATGCTGCTATAGTATTCTTCCTTACAGATGGCTGCCACATGAGTCTGTTCATGACAGATGCTTCCAGAGGAGAAATCTGCACACTTCTGGCATGATATAGAGGAAGAAAAGTACAGAATCTCTGAATTTTTATGTAGTTTTTTTTTTTTTTTCAGTATCAGAGCAAGTACATTCCTCCTAGCAGCAGCTTTCCTGCAAGTCTGCCTCTATGTTGGTCCTTTTTAGCTTCATTTTTAAGCAAGTAAACTTGCAGAATAAGCCTTAGTCATGTTTTATATGTGTAATGTTTCACCTTGAGTATATATTATCTTTTGTTCATTTATTCATCTTCTTGTGAACTTGAGCCTTGATAGTAGTTATGGCATGCTATTACTGAAATTTTTACTAAAATTTCCATTTCAAGGAGACTTACATATAAAAGCAGCAACAACAACAATAACAAAACAAATGTGTGAGGAAGAGGCAAGGACCTGTGTTAAACAGAGCACCATCAAACCAAGACAAAATCTGTAGTAATTACTATATGGTACTCTACTGTACATGCACTAGACAAGGGACTTCGCTTCCTAATATTCAAGTTTCTTTACTGGGAAACTGGAAATAGTTTCTCAGTTAAACACAGGGTTGCTTCTCAAAGTCTGACAGTACCAGGCTGAGGTCAAAAACATATGTTTTCTAGGTTATAGAGAATGCTGAAGAATGATCCAAGACCAGAGTTATTTATTGCTTCTCTAATTTGTAAAAAGATTTAGAAAACTGTGTTTGTCAATTTTCTACATGAGTGTATTCACCAACACAGAAGCTATCAAAATCATTTGAAATATAATTAGAGATTACAAGTGTTGAAAAAACTAAATCCATGTCCTTATGTTAAGGGATATTATCATGAAGAATAAGAATTGAAAAAGAGGAAAACAAGAGTTTTGGGACCTGTTCTCAACGTCTGCTAGTTTGGAAATTTTCCTCAGCTTAGACTGATAACAGTAGATGTTCATTAGCTACTTGAATTCAGTTGTTTTAAATACTAGATTATCAATATTGTGGTAGGTATAAATTAACACAATGGTTTGACTGTACTCTATAGAAATATCAAGGTATGTATTAGTGTATGTAAATTGGACTATTCTTAAATCCAATATTCTAAAAAACAAGGTTGTTGAATAGAATTAGAGTTTACCAAAGGAAGCTATTTTCCCTATTACTTTCTTTAGATCCTTAATGCCCAGAAATTTCATAAATTTAAAACCCCATTTTTAAAGATAAAAAGGAAAAAAATTGCTACTGAGATTTGTGTGAGGAATTATTGACTAAATTATGTTAAAGTAATGCTGTTTTCTGTCTTTGCTATTCTACTTGTCAGGGAGAGAGAGATATGAGAAAGTGAAGTCCTCAAAATAGCTTATGTTCCAAAGAAAAGAGAGTAGACAGATAACCACTATCACCGTTGCAGATTGCTAAAAGAAGCTTACTAACTCAGGGATAAAATAGATGTCCCAGGGCCTTATCGACAAATTCAATTACAAATGCAAAGCCAGGAGGTTTATAAACACTATGCTAAAATCAGATTCTGAACATTTGGAGGCATCTAGGGATCTAAACCTCAGCTTGATGAGACAGGAGCAAAATGGAAAGCATGTACTCTGAGGCAAGAGGGTTATGTTTAAAATAATGCAAAAGGTCTACATGGAGGAGCTTAGAAAGCAGATTGTCCCAGCAGGTGCCCTCATTAGAACAGTTTCTTTAAGCTGTGGATTGTTAGCATAAATAAGAAACTGATACCTAGGTGATAGTCTTTAGACACAGATATTCATCTTCAAACTAAACTGTCCTTTGAAGAATTATGGGGTCCAAGGAAACTGATTCTTTGGTATACTCGAAATATGCAGCACAATAAATATTACCACAAATTGCAAATGAGCACTGCTTGCTCCAACTTAAATTGTTTGTGAGCTACTTTTTGTGTGTCCAGATGCTTGAATAAATAACTTTCACAGAATACTTTACTTTTGAAAACTGGGGTATTTACTTTTCTTTTGATATGAGCTGAAGTCTGACTTTCAGATACAACAACTTCATTCCAATATCCTGTATCACATTTAACCACAAATCCCCAAAGGCCTAGTTTGTCTTAAATAAATGTCTTCACATTTGAATTGCAACTGAATTGAAATAATTCTCATCATTTCTATGAGGTGTATGTGTGGTAAATGTAGAGCATCTATGCATGTGCAAAGGCTATTGGAGGAAGCTGAATGTTCTACTTTATCATTCTCCCCCTTGCTCCATTGCTAAAGTGGGCCTTAATGAGCCTAAATTTAGGCAATAATGAGCAAGCCTCAGTGATGCTCCAGTTTTTGTGTCTGAATGTACCATGACAAACTTTTATACAGCTTCTGGTAATTTAAACTCAGGTACTCATGCTTGTACTAAAAGTCTTATCTACTTAACCATCTCCTAAGTCCTCATCACTTTAATTTCTAGACTTTTTAATATTTCAGAATTTTATTTACTGATGTGACATTAATCTAAAGAAATTTTTCATAACTTTTGTGGACTTAGGAAATCTGACATTATTGAATGCATCAGAAAATTGGAAAATTATTATTTTTAAAAGATTTTATCTATAATGTATGCAGTCTTCTGCCTGCATTCCACCAGATCTCATTCAAGGTGGTTGTGAGCCACCATGTGGTTGCCAGGAATTGAAATCAGGACCTCTGGAAGAGCAGTCAGTGCTCTTAACTGCTGAGTCACCTCTCGAGCTCCGAGAAAATTATTTTTATAATAAACTATGTGCTCCACATGTAGTTGAAATACATATTGGCATATATGTTCAAA